TTTTACCCATAAATTGCCCCTTAAATTATCCCATAAATTTCCCCTTAAATTGTCCCATAAATTTCCACTTAAATTGTCCCATAAATTGCCCCTTAAATTGTCCCATAAATTGCCCATTAAATTTTCCCATAAATTGCCCATCGAATTGTCCCATAAATCGCCGCTTAAATTATCCCATAAATTGCCCCATAAATTTCCCCTTAAATTTTACCCATAAATTGCCCCTTAAATTATCCCATAAATTTCCCCTTAAATTGTCCCATAAATTGCCCCTTAAATTGTCCCATAAATTGCCCATTAAATTTTCCCATAAATTGCCCATCGAATTGTCCCATAAATCGCCGCTTAAATTATCCCATAAATTGCCCCTTAAATTGTCCCATAAATTTCCCCTTAAATTTTCCCATAAATTGTCCTATAAATTCTACCATAAAATTGCCCCTTAACATTTACCCATAAATTGCCCCTTAAATTATCCCATAAATTTCCCCTTAAATTGTCCCATAAATTTCCCCTTAAATTGTCCCATAAATTTCCCCTTAAATTGTCCCATAAATTTCCCCATAAATTTCCCCATAAATTGTCCCATAAATTGCCCATTAAATTGTCCCATTAATTTCCCATCGAATTGTCCCATAAATCGCCCCTTAAATTATCCCATAAATTACCCCTTAAATTGTTCCATAAATTTCCCCTTAAATTGTGCCATAAATTGCCCCTTAAATTCTCGCGTAAATTGTCCCTTAAATTCTCGCATAAATTTCCCCTTAAATTGTCCGATGAATTGCCCCTTAAATTGTCACTTAAATTGCCACATAAATTGTCCCTTAAATTGCCCCATTAAATTGTCTCATAAATTGTTTCATAAAATGTTAATTAAATTGTCGCATAAATTGTCCCGCAAATTATCCCATAAATTGTCACTTAAATTGCCACATAAATTGTCCCATTAAATTGTCTCATAAATTGTTTCATAAAATGTTAATTAAATTGTCGCATAAATTGCCCCTTAAATTGCCCCATAAATAGTCCCTGTACCATAAATTGCCCCTTAAATTCTCACATAGATTTCCCCCTAAATTGTCTCATAAATTGCCCCTTAAATTCTCGCATAAATTTCCCCTTAAATTGTCAGATAAATTGCTCCTTGAATTGTCTCATAAATTGCCCATTAAATTGTCCCATAAATTGGGACTTAAATTGTCCCATAAATTGGGACTTAAATTGTCCCATAAATTGCTTCTGAAATTGTCCCTTAAATTGCCCAGTAAATTGCCCAGTAAATTGTCCCGCAAATTATCCCATAAATTGTCCCTTAAATCGCCACATAAATTGTTCTATAAAATGTTAATTAAATTGTCGCATAAATTTCCCCTTAAATTGTCCCATAAATAGTCCCTGTCGCATAAATTTCCCCTTAAATTGTCCCATCCATTGCGCCTTAAATTGTCCCATAAATTGCGCCTTAAATTGCCCCATAAATTGAGCCTTAAAGTGTCCCATAAGTTGCGCCTTGAATTGTCCCATAAATTGCTTCTGAAATTGTCCCTTATATTGTCCCATAAATTGTCCCTTAAATTGCCCAGTAAATTGTCCCGTAAATTATACCATAAAT